AACTTAATTTATTAAATAAAAAAAAATTTTATAGTGTGTTTGGTTTGAAAGAAGAGAACAAGAAGAGTGAAAATTACTCTGTTAAGTTAGTAAAAAATTTAAAGAGAAAAATAATCTTTTACTTAATTTTTTCAAATGAGGAAAGGAGGGGAGAGGGGAATGGAGGAAAATGGAAGGACGTGATATCCTCCCATTTCTTTTATATATTTCAAAACAAATATATTGTTACTATTAAAGGTTGTACAATATATTTATTTTTTATTTAAAAATTTATATTTTATAATATAATACAATTCAAATTTTAAAATGAAAAAACTTTATTTTTTATTAATGTTCACAGCACTGCACAAAAATCTTAAACATAGCGTTGCACTCATTGATAATGGGGCACATAGACTTAGACCTTGAAATTTTAGGCGGTCAAGTGTACAGTATATATGTGGAAAATGGATGGTGTGCTTAGTTGTTGTGTTCGTAAAGTAACAGTTAAGCAATAACTGGATTTGGATTTTTTAGTGACGCCGGCGGCTAAGAATTTTTAGCCACTCTGACTGCTTGACTTGTCCGCCCAGAGACAACCGCAAATTGTGGGATCAAGCGGTGGGGAAGAAGTTTTCAAGCCTGAAGAACCGGGCGTCATCTCAAACAATATGGATATTCCCAAGATATTACGTAAATTGCTAGTATTAGATGCTTCATCAGTCCAGAATTAAATACTTTTTTTATTTTATCTTTAAATTTATATTTTTACATATATTACTTTTAAAAAATGATGCTAATAAAGATTTAAAAAATAATATTTTTTTAATAAGATAGATAATTGAAGTGAAGTAAAAATTATATTTATTAATCTTTTCATATAACTTTACATATTATTTAATAAGATGTATAATTTTTTATACAACTTTACATATTATTTAACTATTAATTTTTTTTGCTTTACTAATATTCATAATGTTATATACATTTACTGTTTAATAACATATAAAAATTATATAAAAAAATTATACAATAAGATTATCCCATATTATTATCTCAATTTGTATAATGATGTTCAGATTTTGTATTTATATTTTTAAAAAAAAGTAAAAAAAATTATTATGTAATTTAAACTATATTAAACTAAAAAATAGAGAACTTTATATTTAATGAATAATATTATTGCAAATAGATATTTCAAAAGGATGATTTTGCCCCCAGGTTTATATTCACCCCGTAATCTGTTCAACCTAGACCTAGCGAACGGGCGGGTTGAGTCGGGTTAGGGTCAAGTTAAAACAGGTAACAAGTTAAAACAGGTTGAGTTAAAACAGGTCACAAGTTAGTGAAAACAAACCCTAACCCGCCCATCACAAGTCATAGGTCAACTCATGAGTTAACCCAATTAAAATTTTTTTTCTCTATAATTTGTACCTATTATTATTCAAAGAAAATTATTCAAAAGATTT